ACCTTAAATGTCTAGTTGTTTGCCTCAATATATTTGGTACTTTGATACATGTATGTCCAATAAACTGCATATTTCAAATTCATTGGTTTCCACCTGATCACATTGTAATTATTACACTTATTATGCTTAATGTTTGGCTGCTTGTAACATATACTCTCATATAAATACATTTTTGCAAGAAAACCTAGGTTTGACTAATTACGTATTGACAGGATTTTGATTTCATCTGCCTCCACAAGCAGACTGAGCCTGGAACAGGCTGTCCCTTATTTAGTTTTGCATTAAAATGAAAAATGTAAATCACTAATTTCTTATTTACTAAAACCGACTGAAATGCAATAAGTGTTGTATATGTGTACCTGGCAGTAATAACAGGTACATGTATGTTCCTGTGGTCTTCCTAACATACAAGACCTCAACCGTTGGTTAACATCAGATGTCACACTCTGTTGTCTTGTAAAATCCTCCAAGCCTACAATTTAAAGGAGTGATAATATTATATGTAGTTCATTCATTCATGTTACATGTTAAGGTATGAGTATACCTCCATATCAGTTGACTATTTTGAAAAAAAAAAAATGTTCGAGTGTTTCCAGATAGATCTCATTGAGACCATTTATTTTCAAAATAATTCATGGGAAAATATTGATTCTACACAGAATTATAAAGGAAAATGCAATAATCTATGCATGACTTGTATAAATGGCATGAACGCAAGTGCAATTACCATAAGGATTTAATACACTACAAGTGATATTCAAAAACTCTCTCCAAATTTCACAAGCCTTTAGACAAGTGCAATCAGAAAGAATTTTCAAGTATCACAAATAGTGTAAATCCTCAATTACCCGAGCTTTTGTTATGATATTTATGAATGTGTGTGCATTAATTAGCATGGCATTGCTAATCAAAAATTAACATTAATTTGCCTGCTCTCAGCTAATCACAATGGACAAATTTTATCACTCATGTAATAAATAATTATATAATTTGGCCATGTTCTATACACTAATAAATGTTACAAAGATACAAAAAATATTAAATAACTAGATAAAAAAGAGCATAATTTTCTACTTTCTACCAATATGGTACTGTTGAAAGTTCTGTAGTTGTTTCAAGAGTTTCAGCATCATTTGAAGATGTGCCATCTTGAGTGTTAACAATCATTACCATTCTGGATGAAAAACTCAGTATTGAACACTCTAACCATGTAAAGGTCTAAGGTAAGGTAAGGTAAGGTAAGGTAAGGGAAGGTAAGGTAACTTTATTTTAAGTTGTAAACGTAGGGAGTGGTTGCCCAATCTGCTGAGCCGAGGACTCATGACAAAAATGCACTGCAACTTTCTGACCCTCACTTACCAAGCTGCACCAGGTACTCTGCAGTTTCACCTGGCTCACCAACAGTGTTAGTGGGCTCACCTGCCACAACAGGTGAACTTCCAGTTTGGTCTATAGCTACTTCCTGAAGGATCTCTCCAGATAATAATTGTATAGCAACACGTAAACCATGCTTTTGAGCTGTTGGAATGACAGCTATGACCTGTTGGGGAAAAGCTTAAAAATGAAATCGAATAAACAAAATGCACATTTCACAGCAGTACAATCACTCCAGTTTGTACAATCACTTAATCACTGATTTTGATGTCAAATAATTCTATGTGGGAAATTCAAACAAATCACGTGTCAAATATTACCAAAAAGAAGTTACCAAAAGCTACAGGCATGGTGGCCTCATGGTTAGTACGCTCAACTCCAGATCAAGCGGTCCTGGTCTGATCCCTAGCCGGGACATTGCTTGGGATTCATGTTGAGTTCATGTGTATTCATACTAACATTTCAATGTTAAGCTGTAACCACATGTTGTATTGTGTGCTTTGCAAAAACAAGAATTTTAGCACTTATTTTTCATCAATAATATTAGCTCGCTAATTATCCATGCTGTAAACTCAGAAGAATGCTTAAAGCTCAAACGTTGGTCAAATGCTTGTCAATTTCAGGGTAACCTTCCAGCATAATTTATATTTAGTGGTACCCATTTATCTTGAGTGGAGAGGTATTGTGAAGTAAAATGTTTTGCCTGAGAACACAATGTAATGACTCTGGTGAAGGCTTGAAACTAGGTTGCTTAATCCAGGCCACCATGGCTAGTCCAATTGACACAAATGACATAAAGATAATTATAACACTACAGTGCACCACATTTAATAACTGCACATTGCAATTCTTGTAAGTTAACATATGGAAAGACATGCCACTTGAGAGGTGGCAAGTGTTTTGATTCGTGATGTTGCTACCTAGCTAGAAATCTACCAACCTGCACTTCAACATTACTGTGCTACATCAAACCACTCAATCTTTCTGACTAATGCATATAAAAACAGCAACAGAAAATAAATATTTTGAAAGCAGCAACAGTACCAGCAAGCAGCAATACTTTGTCAAAACCTTAAGACAACTGAAACTAATTGTAGCTTTCNATAAAAACAGCAACAGAAAATAAATATTTTGAAAGCAGCAACAGTACCAGCAAGCAGCAATACTTTGTCAAAACCTTAAGACAACTGAAACTAATTGTAGCTTTCAAGATTACAGTAAGTGCTATCCATAAAAGAGTTTCGAAAAGCTTTGTTACACTAAAACAACCTTTTCCAAACATTTCCCTGTCATTTGGAAGAAGAGGACGAAGCTAGAAATAGCAACATTTACCTATAACTCTAGAACAGGGGATGAAAAAAGTCACTTCCTCGTAATTCAGATTTCGGAGGCGCGCGCGCGCTTGGGTCCAGGGCAAGAAATCATTTGGTACAGTTAACCAATCAGCCATCTTTCCGTTTGTTCCGAGCCAATCAGACAATTTGGCGGGAAAGCTTGCGAGCTGGAGCTGAGTTGAAGATGGTCGAAGATGGTAATTTCCTTTTCCCGAACATGATGCTACTCGCGCACCGAAGAGCGCGGCACCGAAGAAATCGAAGAAATTCAAGCTACTGTTCGCGTGAATGAATGAATGACTTTATAAGACTAATAGACTTTGTTATTTAAAACGACGAGCATTAAAGCTAAAAAGCTAGTGGGGTCGTTTTTACTAAAAACTAAAATATCTTTAAACTAGAACTAGGAAAACTACAATAAAAATCTAAAATTTGACGGAGATCACCTAATCACTTGAAGTTGCACACATTTGCTAGTACACTCCAGCAACACTTCCCATGGTCTCCACGATCCCCGTGGCGAAATATTGAACTCACTTGAATTGTCTCTCGCCGTTAAAATATAAGCTTGCCAAAAGAGAGCAACGGCGAATCGAATGACTAGAAATGATTTTTAAATCAGTTAAAAAGAACAGAAAAGAACTTTACCTTAGAAAGACGAAGATCCGTCGCGCAGTTTGCAGACATTTTTATTCGTGCGCCAGTTTGCAGTAATGATCATTTACACGGTTAGCATATACTTCTGGGCTAAGGTGAAATTTGTCTTTCTGTTTACAAACATTGTTTTTGTTATTGAAATGTCCAAAACGTGAAACAAAAGAACTCTTTGTTTCGCCAGCCAATTAGACTTGCGTTGCAGCCGGACGTGTCAGAAAATTCCATACCGGCGGTTCAATCGTCTGCGACCGACCCCCATGACGTACCTGACTTCCCATGATGCGTTGCTTCCAACTATATTATCATTATTTTTGGGTCACATGACTTGCCATTTCGACATGGACGCCGTGAGGTTAATTTCGCGGTGTGAGAGACCATTCGATCTCTCGAAGCTGATATATGTTCATTGCATCGATCTAGGAACCAAAAAATTCACTACAGTCACCAGTTTTCCTTGTTTAGAGATATGTTGTGTACTTGGACACTTTAGTTTTCCAAGGGA